AGAGTGTGTCAGCTATCAGGGACCTGTTAAAGTTTTAATTTGCCCCCTCTGCTTCACTTTCCCTTTAATTTCTTCTCCTTCGCTAAATGGCATTTTCATGGCTGGCTGCATTTCTTGGTTTATCACAATAAACCATGCAGAGGAAGAAGATTACTGTGCTGGAAGAACAGAGTTGTCTCCTCCCCTTTTGCCCCCAGGGCTTCCCTTTTCACATATACACTCATACCATTTTGAACATTATAAACCAACATAGCTCAGGGTTATTCCTGCCTGGCATGATGATTTCTTGGCAAAATACCATGCTGATGGACGGGAGTGTTTATTTTGGGTGACTCTGGATTGAATTGAAGCAATGTGCACCTGTTTGCAATTCAAAGAACTCATCAATAGCCTGCCATATTATTTTGGGGGGTAGTAGCAAGTGGTTAGACTCAAAATAGTGTCCTCTAGAATAGAGCCATGGGAAAAAAAGAGGCCTGATTGAGAGGGGAATGATAAATCATTGAAGGCTGGCAGCCATTGCAGCTTGAGAAACGTTGGGGTCAGAGGTGCCATAGATTTTGCTATTCCGGAAACAAAGCCCCGAATAGCAATTTCACTGCCTTTTAATTTTCTTCATCCTCAAGTGCTGAATGTGGGAGTTGACAACAGATTGCTGTAAATAATGTAATTGGAAATCTCTGTGTTATGGAAAAGCAGATGAATGCAAATAACGAAGCTGAAGAGTGCTTGCTCTTTCTCCTTGCCAGTGGTTTTCAGCATGCCAGAGCTATGGTGGAGGGCTGGGACAAAGTGAATGTGTGGGCATGTGCTGCGTGAGAGCAATGGCAATGACGTCCTCCCAGGGTGGTTGCATTTGCAGGTGCCTTTCTCTTCATTAAGCATTGTAGCCCAGGAGAACCTGCTCCCCTGCCTTTCGGCTGCTGGGGGATTGAGCCAGTAACGCTGGCGTCACCATGGAAAGCTAAAGGTAGCAGTTTTCCTCTGGCACAGCCCAGCCTGGGCTGCTGAGAAGGAAGGGGACTGCAGAATGAGAACAGCTACTGTGTGGCAAGCAGTAAGTGGTAGAGCAAAATATGGCTTTGCAGGGAAAAGCCTTTCTAAGCATCTCTGTATGGGGGACTCATGGCTCGGTGAAGCAAACTCTGGGGGGACTGCAAGCGTTTGTTACGATTCCTTCAGCTGTGACCCTGTCCTTTGGTCAGAAAGTCCTAATGTTTTCTCTGTTTAGGAGCTTGTTTTAGCACTTGTATATTCAGAGAAGGAGAAAGAGGAGGGAGACATTTAAGCAGTAACATGTGTTGCACCAGGGCCCAGTGATTCTCTGTTCGGTCCCATTTACAAGCTGCACTTGAATGTGCTAGGTAAAATACACATCTGCTTCTGACTGTCTCATCCTGTAGCTATAATGATGGCTTGATGCAACTCTCATAGGAATATTATCAGGGTTACAAAAGGCATTGAGGTCTCTGCACTTGCCATGGCCGTTAAATTGGTTTGAAGGAGTCTATTACTAAAGTAGCTCTTCTCCCCTGTGTCCTCCCCCACTTTGCTTTAGGGTCGTTTAGGTGTCAGGGGAGGCAGAAGGACAGGAGCCTGAAGGATGTTAATATTTAGTGTGGATTTTAGTTGTGTTTGGCTGGGCCAGTTTGAGTACAGTGGGCTGGGGACAGTTGCAGCTGGTGAACCATGGTGTGGCTGCTCTCTCGTGAGCCACACGCTGGGCCACCAGGTCCTGATCTGGGGTAATGCAGATACAGATCTTTACTCCCATCTGTCAAGCACTCAGAGCAAGGGATGATCAATGTTACTTAAATTTAGGTTGCCTGCAAGAGACTGGAAGGGGCAGGCTGACCCTCTCACTGATGAAATTCCAGCTCCACCCAAACTCAGGCTGCTGTGGGGGCCAGTTTTCACCTTATGTGCTGATGGGACCAGTGGGAGCAAAACTGTCTCCTTGGAAAGAGGAAACTCCTGTTAATAAACAGGAGTTTTATTCTTGAAGTGCTGTTACAGATTTATTAATTTAAAATCAAGCAAGAAGTTTGCTGTCAGGCCACTCTTGTGATCAATGAAACTACCATCAATAACAGTCAGCAACATCGATTTGTTTTGATGCATGGATGCTAAAACTAACCTGCGTGCCCATGTGCAGAACAGAACGTGAACCACGGTCGGTTTGGATGGGGCATTCTACTAACCTGGGGGGAGCAGAGATACTAAGTTAATACAGGGGAGATCATCTTGCTGCAGCTATTTTAGAGCTGATTTCAAAACAATTTCAGTACTACCATAAGGAGACCAAACTCTATTAGAAGCACCAATTTGAAAGTGAATATGTATGCGTAGAATAAATGTTATACTTAGTATTAATACATCAGAGCTAGGTGTATTATATCATTAACTCTTTCTATAACTGGACTTGCTTTGGGGTAGTGAGAAACCAGAGGGTGACCAGCCTTTTCTTACAGCAATCCTTGCTGTGTCTGATTGGTTTTATGGTGTGCCTAAATTGTAGTTTGCCTGAAGATAATAGGTCTCTTCAGTGCTGCAAATTAAATTACAGATGTTGTGAGGTCTGTTCAGAGAATGACTGTAAGAAAGGGTTGCTTCTTCCCCAGCAGTTTGCACGGGGAAGCTACGTGTGCCCCACCTACCCAGTGTGCAGCAGGGGATGGACAATCTGCCCTCCTCAAGCCATGGCGCTGATCAGGGTGCAAACCCCATGGCCGCAGCAGTCCCTGTTCTGCCCGCTGTGTCCTGTGTGTGTACCTGTGCCCGAGGCTTCCTGCCTTCCTGGGACAAAGGAGACCAGGGCTTGCCCATCCTGCAGCTCCTGCATCGTGTATTGTTTGCCTGAGGTGCGGTGGGCTAAGCTCCATGTAGAGATGTCTGTCCTAGATTTAAAAAAACATTGCATTTCCCACTTCTTGGGTTTGCAGGGATAGCAGAGCATGTTCCTCCAGGGTCTTTGTGTTGCACTGATGAGCGCTGTTGTACCAGCTGTACCAAATGCTGTGCAGGCCCTATGTGCTACCAGAGGGGACAGAAGGAGCTGTGTCAGCTTGTGTCTTGACTGGCTGGGTCACCATTTGGGCTGTTTGCATGCTGGTGAAGGAGCTGGTAAAGTGTCCTGCCTGCCAAGGCCCCCTCTGTAGAAAAAGAAAAACTTGCAGTCCTCTCTCCTTCAGGGAGTAGGCTTCCCAGGTTTTCACTTGGACAGCAGACTCACCGTCCCACTGGGCTGTTACCCAGAAGGAAAATGTTGGTGTAATTGCAGGGTGCTCTCACCTTCTGGTTTCTACATCCTGCTGTGGTTCACACGAGCTTCTTTCGCACTCTTACAGTAACTAATGTGTGTGCTGGGTCACAGCGATGCTCTGCTTTCTTCTGCTGGGTTCTCTTTTCTTAAAAAGCACACTCCCAGGTTCCCCTGTGAATTCAGATCACCTTCACTGGCTTTCAAGACCCCAAATGCAGAGATTTTAGTTCTCTGTGTTGATGGCTCTGGACTAGAAACGAGGCAACCTGCTGAGCAATCTCCTCCCGCCAGTGAAATGGTGATGGTGGTATCCTGCTTTTTGTGCCTGCATAAGAAGAACTTCTCATGAGTGCCAGGTGTTGTCACTGCCCTCTGCTTTGATTAAGCCCTAAATGCAAATTGCAAATGTATTGCTGTAGTTAGGGACATCTGCATTTGCACCCATTGCTATCATGGTGCTTCTATATGCAAAATGCTTTGGGAACTTGGAGTAGAAACACTGATGATCTCCTTTACTCTGAACAGAAGTTCAACGTTTCTACCCCCTTGCCTGAAATAGAAAATTATAGTTTTACTATATTAACTTATTTTTGCCCTAACTGTCTCATTAGCTCATTATTAGAATGCTGTAAGGCACAAAAGATTTAGGTTTTTAGAGGCCATTTCTCCTTGTCTGAGCTGCCATCCTTTTCCTTTCCTCTGGCTCACAGCAAGCTTTATATTAAATATACTTAATAGAGCTCCTTCATCATAAGCTGCATTAAAACTAAATTGGAGAGTAGAGGGCGTTCTTACAGGAGATATTACAGTTTAGCACTCACAGCCCATTTCCTGTTGCAGGTTCAGGTTATTTGAGTGTCGTTCTTCCTGTTCTGGGGTTTTCAGGCACACTCGTTAAATGATCTGGCTTGGCCTGAATTGCTCTGTGAAAGGAACGCCAAGGTTGTGCCATTCGGTATGGCACGAGGCAGCGTTTCTGCTGTCCTGGCATTGCCGCTTGCATCCTGCTGCTGCTGCCGGTCTTTGACTCTCTCAGAAGTGACCCAGGCTGAGGGACCTGGCTTGGGAGGAGACACTTGTCAGGACTTGTTGCCCCTCCAGCCAGTGCAAGACTTGCTTTTTTTCTAAGCAAAGCATGTGCTTGGGGCTATTGCCACCCATGGCATGTGCCTGCTTTCTCTGGGAAGCTTTTCTTCTTGTGGATTCCCAGTGGGAAAGCAACAGATGGCAGAATCTGAACTGCCCACTGCTTAGCGCAGGCCAGGGAACTTCATCCCCTTGTAAGCCTGGGAATGTGTGTTTGACTCAAGCACAGCATCAGAGAAACATTTAGACTTGACCCAAAGAACATAAGAAGCTCCATGGTTTGCACAATCACCATCTGCTCCTCCTTCAATCTGCCTGTTGCTTATTCAAATTTGTGATTTTTTTTTTTTTTTTTTTTTTTTGGGGGGGGAAGAAGGGGGGGCGGGGCGTGGGCAGAG